GCCATATCCTCTTGATGAGTTGATGTCTTTATTATTATATAATGACTTTTTCCTGCTATAGATGTTGACTTAAAGTCTATTTTGTGTGATGTAAGTACAGCTATCCATTTTCTTTTGTTTCCATTTGCATGGAATATCTTTTTCCTTCTTTTCACTTTCAGTCTATGTGCATCCTTAAAGTTAAAGTGAGACTCTTGTAGACATATATGTAGGTCTTGTTGTTTAATCCACTCAGTCACTCTATGTTGTTTGATTGGAAATTTTAACCTATTTATATTTAAAATAATTATGGACATACTGTTGCCATTTGATTTATTGATTTATGGTTGTTTTGTGATTCCTATGTTACTTATTCCTCTCTTGTTCTTTTTTTTTGTGATCTGATAATTTTATATAGTGGTATGCTTTGATTTCTTTTTCTTGATCTTTTGTGTATCTATATCCACTATAGACTTTTGCTTTGTATTACCATGAGGCTTACATTAAAAAAAGTTTATTTATGTCTATTTTTAAGCTGACAACTTAACTGCAAAAACATACAGAAGCTCTATATTTTTACATTATCTTCCCCAAATTTTGTTTTTAATATTATGATTTACATCTTTTACATTGTGTATACCTCAACAAATTATTATAGTTATTTTTAATACCTTTGTCTTTTAATCTTCATTCAAGAGTTATGTGATTTATCCACCATTATTACTTTAGAATATTCTGAATTTACTATTTACTTTTACTAGTGAGATTTATACTTTCATATGTTTTTATTACTAATTAGCGCATTTTTGTTTCAGCTTAAAGAATTTCCTCTAACATTTCTTGTAATGCTGTTCTAGTAGTGATGACTCTAACATTTGCTTGTCTGGAGAATCCTTATCTCTCTTCCAACTCTGCAGGACAACTTCTCTAGGTAGAGTATTCCTTCTGGGCAGGTGACTTCTTTCAACACTTTGAATATATCATGGCGCTCCCTTCTGGCCCCCAACTTTTCTGCTTAAAAATTTGCTGGTATGTAACAAGATGTTTTTCTCTTGTTACTTTTAAGATTCTTTCTTCGACTTTCACTTTTGACAATTTAATTGTGTTTCAGTGTGGGTCTGTTTTGATTCATCTAATTTGGTATCTTTTGTGCTTCCTTGATCTGAATATCTGTTTCTTTCCTCAGGTTAAAGAAGTTTCAGCTACTATTTCTTGAATAAGCTTTCTCCCTCTTCTTCTCGGACCCCTGTAATGTGTATATCGGTCTACTGGATGGTCTTCCATAAGTCCCTTAACCTATCTTCACTCTTTTTTATTCTTTTTTCTTTCTTTTTTTTTTTTTTTTTGCTTTTTGCTTCTCTAATCGAATGAATTCCACTGCCTTGTCTTTGAATTCACTGATTCTTTTTTCCAGTTGATCTAGTCTGCTGTTGAACCTCTATATTGAAACTTTCAGTTTAGTTACTGTGTTCTTTAGCTCCGTAGTTTCTTTTCAGTATTCTTTTTCTATTTTCTATCCTTTTGTTCAAATTCTCACTTTATTCATGTATTGTTCTACCAACGTTGGTTAGAATCACGATCACTGTTATTTTGACTCATTATTAGTTAAATCACTTATGTCTATTTTATTAAGATCTGCTTCTCGAGTTTTATCTTGTTCTTTTGTTTGAAGCATACTCTTATTTTTTTTCATTTTCTTTGACTCTGTGATGATTTCTACATATAGCTAAAACAACTTTCTCTACCAGTCTTACTAGTATGGTTTTGTGTGTATGAACCTCATCAGTCTATCTGGCCTATGCTCTTGGTAGTTTCTCGAACTTTTGAGATTGTTCAAGCTACATTCTTTGTGGATCCCCATAGTTGAGGGTGTGCCAAGAACCATCAGTGTCCCAAAGGGGAGGATTGCAGTCAGATAGTAGACAGTTGGAATCTGGACCCTCAGACAGCAGGTGAAAAGTGTCCCTTCCCAAGAAGAAATGGGCAGGTGGGTATTTTTGCCTACTATCCTTTGTGCTAGGCCTGCGTGTAGAGCCATGGAAAGGGGAGTGCTTCTAAGCCCATTAAGAACATTTTTGTTTGCTGCAGTTTAGGGCTCTAAATGGAAGCATCTTTGGCAGTCAGAGACAGGTGATCTGGGGACTTCTCCCTGGGGTTCATCCACAAATGTTGAGCAGATATGTGTACAAGCTCCTTTTAGGGAGATACTGGTGACTTGGGGCAGGCAGGAGGGAGAGGTGAGGAGAGGCATCTGCTACTTTCCCTGGTCTTCTTCCTAGGAGGATCATAGTCAGACCCTGTGTGTATGCTAAAATAGAAGCCTGACCCTTAGGCAGCAACTTTTAAACAAATAAGCCCCATTCAAAGAAAGATGGCATTTTTTTTTCTTGCCTATTCTCTCTGTAATGAGCTCCGAAGGGTTGGGGGTATAACCACATTGAGTGCTTCTATGCCCATTTGTTTGCTATAATCTTGTGAGTCTTATGGATGCAAACCCCATTGGCTCTCAGAATTAGGTGTTTTGGGGGCCCATTCCTTGAGTAAGAATCTTAAAAGTTAGAGCACTTGGTATAAGATAGAAACGCTTAATTTCTTAGTGAGAAGCTAGAAGTTAAGGTTCCCTCCTGATTATATGCTACTGTGCCAAGGGTAAGGTTTATGGCAAGAGTGTGTTTCAGCCTTTCCTATCTGCTTTGGTGTGGGTGTTTTCTTGATCGCTTGATCACCTGATGTGTAGGAGGCACTCAGCTAATTCCTCAGTTTCTGGATTTTGTTCAGAGGGAACTGGTCTATGTGTAGGTAGGTGTACATTTGTTGTGTTTGTGGGAGGAGAAAATTTCAAGAGCTTCCTATGTTGCCATCTTTGCAGCCATGATCTGTATAACTATAACTAGGTAGAATGCAAGAAGAATGTTACTTTTACTCTTCTGAGATATTACCCAAGGGGGGCCTAAGCTGTGGACAATTTTTTCACCCCTAAGAAATCTCGAATAGATATCTCAGCTTTCCAGTCACTTTCAGGTAAGAAACATCTTTTTTTCAGTATAAATATGCCAAGTTCTTCTGCATAAAACTTTCTTTTCCCAAGATCAAACCTGATATAAACTCAGGAACCTGCTTCTCTCTTCTCTGTCCCACCTCACTTATGGGGACAAATTGCTTGGAACTTCCACAGCAAGGCTTGAGAAAGAGCAGTAATTAGGGGGAAAGAGCACAGTTTTCTTTATAGCTGAGCCTGGTATTGCTTGCTGTATGCTCTTGGAATAATATTTGTGTGGGCTGTGATCTTTTTTTCATGGAATAATTTTGCAATCTGATTTCTCAAAGATCAAAGAAAGTCCTGGAGGACTTTCTACAGAGGAACTTGGTATATTATTAAAGATATCCTTCATCTGGCTGTTTTGCCTCCCTTTTAACCCTGGAATTTTAGTATACACTTCTGTACTGGGTCACTTTACTCATTCAAGGGATTCTCTTAGGCAAGTCTCTTTCAATATAGCCTACAACTGACTCTTCTTTTAAGGTCCACATTTAACCTACTAGAAATCATGACCTTTTGTCTAGCCTCTGTCCAGCTCTCAAAGGAGTCCTCTTTTTTTTTTTTTAATTCTGCTATTAGGTCTCTCTGGCTGTCCTATCACCTAGCATCTCCTTCTGGAGAAGCACCTCAATACACATTGTTAAATTAAAAAAAAAAAAAAAACAAGCAAGGTAATGAGCAGTGAATACAGAATGTTACCATTTGGTTATCAAAAAGTTTATATGTAGATACACATGTATGTATATATATAAATATTTTATATAAACATAAAAATGTTTTATATTCATGTTTATATTGATGATTATTCCATATACAGAGAGATGCCCTGTTTTATTTATGGCTGCATAATACTCCTTTGAATGAATGCATCATAATGTGTATATATGCATATATAAAGCACATAAATATAATAAATGTGTATGTATAATACATATAATAAATATATATGAAAGGAGATAGGTAATCTCTGGAAATACATAAGAAATTAGTTTATTAAGAGTTGTTATCTCTAAGATTGGGTGCCAGGTAATTCTGAAAAAGTGGGGGAAGAAGACTTTTTACTGTATATCATTTCTAACCATTTAACTTTTGTAGTGTATATATATGTATTGCTTACTGCAAAGTGAAATTGGAAAACAAATTCATTTAAAAAATATTTTGACTTACAACAAAGCCTATAACATTCTAGTTATTAGTATGTTGTACCTGTGAATCTTCGTTGGCTTAAACAAAAATAATTCCCTGGAAGAAAGCAGGTGGAAGAGAAATAAAGCCAGAGAGTCAGAGAATGCTGCAAATTGGAAATCAACGGTAAAAAATGGCAATAGCAGCAGCAACACTATATATTGTCTACAAAAATCAGTATAAAAGACATGTCATGCTACTTTCTGGGATATCAGGAAAAACTATTTGAGGGTAAAGAATTATCAGGCACAAATTTCTTAGCCTAATAAATTTCTCGGCTTGTTATATATGCAAACTGCCATTAGGGGGCAGTATATTTCCTACATGGTGAAGAGTGGAAAGTCAAAAACAATAGTTTTTTGCTTTGCATTATTCCGTTATAAATTTCTTATTCTGTGAGATTATAACCTCCATTTTTATAAAGTATATAGTGAAGAATACTTCAAAAAATAGCCAAGCTTTATTAGTCAAATGAAACTCTCGTTTTTCAGACAGTAGGAACATTCTTTAGTAAGTTATGTTTGGTCACTCCAGAAGCAATCTACATAGAAAGTGTTTTATTTTGTTTTGAAATCTCATGTACCAATATTAGTATAAGCATTTTTTTTTCCAGAGATAGATGGATATATGTTCTATTTATTTTTTAAACCTGCTTAAGCAAGTTAGGGAAAATGAGAAGTCAGGATATTCTCAAATTTAATGCAAAGCTAAGCACACACCAAAACTTAAGTCTACTCCCAGGATCACGTGAGTGCACAACTATGAGCTTCATTCCATTACATAAACAAGAGAAAAATAAGGTTATTTCATTGCTTTAAGAAAAGTCCTTTGGAATATTATTTGGCCTTACAAAAGGAAATACTGCCATCTGAGACAACGTGGATGAACCTGAAGGACTTAAGTGAAATAAGCCAGACAGAAAGACAAACACTGTACAAATTCACTTACATGTGGAATCTAAAATAGTCAAACTCATAAAAGCAGAAGATAGAATGGTGGTTGCTAGGGACTAGGAGGAGGGGAAGGGAAGATGTTGGTCAAGGAGTACAAAATTTTAGTAATGCAAGTTGAGTGAGTTCTGGAGGTCTAATGTATAGCAATGTGACTATAGTTAACAAGGCTGTATTGTATACTTAAAATTTGCTAAGAGGATAAATCTTAAATGTTCTCACCACACACACACACACACACACAATAAAACGGTATAACTGTGAGGTGATGGTTATGCTAACCAGCTTGACGGTGATTTTTTTCATAATATATATGTATAACAAGTTGTATTCCTTAAATATATATAATCTTTGTCAATTATGTCTCAATAAAGCTAGGTAATAAAGTCATTTTCATGAGATAGGAGAGTATTTGTATTACAGTTGCCCTTGAAACAAATTGCTAGTCAGGAATTGCCTGTCTATAAGACCACACACTTTCCAAATGATACACAGTTCTTTTCAAGGGAAAAATACAAATACTCTTGTTTTCTAGGGAGCAAGTCCAGTCTTCCAAATAGGAGGAGCTAATGGCTGACTTCATCCAGCAATTTGGTGTCATGCTAGAGCTAAAGCACCAGCCTACTAACTCGATTGCCACTGGTTAGAGCTTTAATTTACTTTTATTAATAACAATAGTATTGCATTTTTTCTAAATATAAAAGTAATAAATTTTATGGTAGATATTGGTAGATACAGAGAAGTATACAGAAAAAATTAAAAATTCAAATAAAACCATTGTTAACATTTTGGTATATTTCTCTTTTTTCTACTATATACATATATACATACATATGTGTATATGCATGTAATAGTACATATGTAGTGCCTGTATGATTATATTATATATGCATATATATACTTTTTAAAAATTAATACTATATTTTAAGCATTCTACCATGTTATTAAATATTCTTCATTCATCTTCAGAAATTTGAAAACACAAAGATATTTAAATAACATAACAGACACTATATTTTCATAATTTAGGATTGACAAGTGTTAACAGTTTGAGATATTTGTTCCAGTATTTTTTCTATGGCATATTAAAAAACAAAAACTTGAATACATTATCAAAAGAAATATGGGAAAGAGAAAAGAAAAAATGGAGGGAATTGTTCCTAATTCAGTCTGTCATGTACAGTCAGGAGAAAGGGTACAGTGAATACAGAAATGTCAAATTGTTGGCTTTTAAGTTATAAAACAGAATGGTGAAGAAAACAGAATGGTTTTTAAACAGTTATAAAACAGAATGGTGACGATATTAAAGGATTGTTTTTCTCTTTTCTTCTCTCCGTCCCTCTCCTTTTTTTTGGAGTGAAAAGGCGTTCCGTGTTTCAGAAAGAAAACCTCTAAAAAGCTCATTGGACTGCACCTAGGTTATAAACAACAGATTAGACAAAGAGCACATGAATATCAAAGCTGATTGAAAAATAACAGTAAAACCCTATCACAAGGGTATATCCAAACAATCGAAAAATTCTTCAACTTTTTAAGGACCCCCTGCTCGGAATCAAGTACCTAAAAGTGGGGCCAGGAATCTACACATTTACCTAGTTCCTAATGAGCCGTATGTCCAACAATGCTTGAGAACCTCACTGTCATGAAGACGAACAGGAATTCATAAATATAACAAAAGGCCTTCCTTTAACCTAAAATACTAACTTCCAACACTATGTTGAATACACTTTATCTGTCTTCATAGTACATATTTATTTCTTCGTTGCTCATCTCTTCCACTAGAAAACTCTTAATGTAGAATTTACTTGGGTAGAAAGGGGCTTACAATGTTGGAAAAATGCGAGCCAGAAATAGAAAGCTCACCTTAGTACATGATCTGTTACTGAGAAAAAAAATAACTGAGGAAAACTTTCCTCAGGGAGAAAAAAGCAAAAGTGCATACATAGGTGAGAGATAATGTTCACTGCAGCCCATGTATAATCATCGAAAAGAGATATACGCCTAGACAATATTTTGGTGGTAATCTATAACATAAGAATAGAATAAAAGTCCTAAAAACAGAGAGAAAAGAAGATGTCTTATAAAAGAGTGGATATCAGATTGGCCTGAGGTTTCTCCTCTAGCAGTGTTATGGCGCGAACAATTCTGAGACCCACAGAGCCAATTGAGATTAATTATGAGCCTTTATTAGCTGGCCGGGGACTGACTCTCTACCGCGCAGGGCTAGAGGAGATCAGCCCCGAGCTTTCAAAGGAGGCAGCTGATAAAGCTCAAGACCATATCCTGGTGGTCTCCTGAACAAGCAAGCAGATTACAGAAGTGGAAGTTGGCTGTTAGCATATCTTTGCCCGGAACAACACCCTTAATTAACAAGTAAATGGATTACAGAAGTAGACATTGGCCATCTTCATATCTTATACACTTCCTAAACCACACACAAGCAAGTAGGACAACTCCTGATATCTAAAGATATTTCTTCCCTGTAGCTGACTTAGCTAGTTTGCTCACTTGAAAATTTTCCACCCTTAACAGCAGATGTAAAGTAAGTCTCAAATAACAAGTTATACAACTAAAATAGAGAAAGGAAGACGAAATAAAATTTAAAAAACTAAAGCCTTTTACAAAGGAAAGCGCAAACAAATATTTTACACTGTTTTGATATTCTTGGGAAATAGTAGAATTAAAATCGGAATGTATAACTTCTAAAGCATTAAGGAAAATAAAAGTATACGAAATTGTTACCGAAGAGAGGGAATCCTATCCCGGTACGTTGTCCAGGTTCTTGATGTCTCGAACAAAGAATTGAGCAAGACACCAAAATACAGTTGTTTTATTAGAAAGAAAAGTGCATTTCCAGAAGTGGAAGAGGGTCTGAGCAAGAGAAGCGTGGATCAAAAGGCCTGGTGACAAAGCCTTCGGGGTTTTTATCCCTTTTTGCTGTGGGTGGTTACTTTTCTTAGAGGAGTGGGCTTCCTTGATTGACAACTAAGATTGACAGGACTCAGTGATTCATCATTTTGCATTCTGTGCATGCTTGTTCCTAGAATTCAGTCTAATAATATTAATGAACTTCTGGGCATACACATTATATTATAATGATGGTATACCGAGGCTCAGGTGAGTTGCCGGTCCTTGGGGTCTTCATTGCGCAAGTGTGAGTGACTGGCTTAAACTAGTACCTAATTCTTTGCCTACCGGTTGCTTCCCGCGAGTTAAAAAATGCCTCTGGCTTGCTTAATTGTGGGTGAATTAGGGTGGACCCTTTCTAGGATAGTATGACCTCATGTCTTTGTAGGCAGACCCAAAACCTCCTAACTAACTTTCCTGCCTACTTCTTTTCTAAGAGCCATGAATTCTCTTATTATTAGTATGGATGTTGAGGGATGGGAGGTCTCTTCTTCAGTTTCTGCTGAAAATGGCTATAGTCCCTGCCTACAGAGGTTTTCACGCTTTCCCTTTTTTTCCCTCGCTGCCTCAATCAGAACAGGGTCTCGGATATCCCAACAAAATGCCGCCTCTGTCCCTAGAGAAAGAAAGAAGATACAAACTTATTATTTAAATCATATGTTTATTAATTTCTATTATTAATTTGCCTATTGAGCGAGTAAAGGGAAACAGGCTTGGTTAATATATTTCTTAAAGAGTAAAAAAAAGGACCTTTGGCCTGAAGTCCCCTCCCCCCTCAGACTCTAAGGGGCCCATTTCTGCTAACAATGGGCTGATGACCCTTATCAATAGCGAGAGGATCTGAGTTGCCAGGGCAATTATCAGGATTTGAGGGAGAGGGCCCTTTTTCCAAAGAAAGGAGGGAAGAAAACTTAACTAGGTTTACTAAAAAGATTAATTCTGCCTGAGATGCCCTGTTTCATTTCCTGCTAAAAAATTAAGAATTTTACAAATGAAGTCCTGTCTCAAAATGGTTCATATTACAATTTGGAACACACACATGCAGAAAACATAAGCACACAGTAACAGATATACTGTGTTTCAAGCCATAAACTCAGGTTTCTGGCAAATTTTTTATGCAAAAAATTTTTTCTTTCAATCAGTTTCTCTTCCATTCTGGTGCCCCAGTTCTGCATGGATGGCGGCTTATTGTATCCCTAGATTTTAAGGGTTGTTCCTCCTTGCCCCAATGTGGGAAAATTTTGAGAGGTTTATATAACCGTGCAAAGGCAGGCAATCAAGACTCTGAAAGAGAAATCCATAGATTTCTGCTGACACTCATGCAACCGGAGTGTGCACGGCCTCTTCCGGTTTTGCAGCTTTCTGATTCCACATTTTATTTAGGAGAAAAGAAAATTTTCTGCAAAAATTCTGGGTGCTCGTGATATCCTCCGCCCAGGTTCACTGCCATCAGAGATACTGTGGGTCTTTTTAGTGGCTATGCAGGTTAGCTCTTTCCTTCATTTCAATATTCTCCTAAACTGGATCCCTTTCCCACTCTTCTCAGCTTTACATCGGAGCCTAAAAATACACGTGTTTTGGCAGCTTCCCTGCACCAAGCTCTAATCCTGTGTCGCAAGACCTGAAATACGAAGCACTTACAGTAGCATCGCTGTCTGGGGCTCCACTCCAACGCAAGGGCCGGCCGGGGAGAACGCGTGGTGGAGGGCCGGTGGCCCCCGCCTTCCCGGAAAGGCGCGAGAGAAGCGGAAGTAGGGCAAGGAGGAGCGGAAGGGAAAGTCCCGGCTGTTGGCGCTTCCAGGACTCTGGCCGTGGGGGACGCATAGCAAGTGGCATCTACGGGGTGAACCCTAGGATATCGCTGTGGGAAGGACTTTAGCACTGCTCCGGACTGCTCCACAAGACTTCTAAGCCGAAACTGACCAGGGCGCAACGACAAAGTTCCGCGAAGGGGACGCAGCACCCAGCGCCGCCTGGGGACTTTGCCAGGTGATGGAGGGTGTGGGGAAAAAAGGTGGCGAAATAGTTAAGAGAGGAGGCATCCGAAAAATGCAAAGGAAAGGGCTTGCAGAAACTCAGCGGGTTATAGATTAATCACACCCTTTAGATCTTTAAATGGCTTCTGGAAACTCTTGCTACACTTAACAATGTGTAAATAGATAGGACTGGTGGTCCGGAATTCCTTCCCCTTTGCAGCCTCCACCTGAAACTCCCCCTCCAATCCTGAGTCTGATGGGCCCATAGACCCTCAGACAAAGGAATCATGCCCCTTGCATAGAACACTGCTGGGGTATATAAGCTGTAAGAAATCTACCCGCAAGGAGCTCATACCTTTTGTGCTGTCTAGAGCCTCAAGTGCTCGCGGGCCTAATAAACAAACTCTCCTTCCTCTAACAAAGTTGTCTGAGCGTCCAAAATCCTCTGTCGGGTGCTGCTTCCTGCAACATCGGGAGAAAGTGGAGAAATAGCTGACATCAACACTGTCAAAAGAATAGGGAAATATCATTTCAATGTACTAATTTAAATTCTGAATACTTTCCAGACTTTGTGCTAAGTAGGTGCTGCAAACAAATGTATTTATTTTCAGACTGTCATGAAGCGGACAGTCTCCTTTCCGAGAATTACAAAATGGGGTGGAAGGCCTAGAGCTTTTATAGGATAAAGACTGAAGAAGAAGGAAGAGACAGAAAATATAAACTTGGCTGGGGCCGCATAGTCCACCTTGTTTAGGCAGAGAAGGCCCAGAGTTGCATTGGCATTTGGGGGTTGGCTGACTCAATACACTGCATTTCTGGTCAAACGGAGCATTTACAGGATGGCTAAGTTATCTAAGTTTTGGTTCGCTCATGTGCCACCCAGGCAACTCCATCTTGGTCTTAGAATTCATTTCAGCAATATTCCCAGGGACCTCTAATTTTCCTTCTCACTATGTGTTAAATTATCTTGCTTAACTAAAACATGGAACATTTCCTTTGTGCGGCAAACTTTCCAACAGAGAAAAATGTCCAACCCATTTTTGGATTATGTTCTTTCATTACACAATTTTTTTGAGCCTCAGTAATCCTTTAACTGCTACACACATACAAGGATCACAAATGTAGGGAATTAAAACCAGATTATTTAAATCACTTACATGTTGAAAAAAACTGATAAGGACCTAGAGAGAAAATCTAGATGACTCTCCCCCAACTCCATTTTCCCTTCATTTTCACATCTGAGAGCGTACTGTTTACCAGCTATTACTCTTAAGTGCTGGAGGTATAGAGATAAACAGGACATGGGCAGGAGCAACAGAGAACCCCTTCTGTGAAGACCTATCACTCTCTTGGAATAATTAAGCTTTAAGGGAAAGGCATAAATCTACTGATGGAGGGAGGAGCATAGTGATCAGCTCAAACAGCTTATCTTTTCTTGGAACTTTACTGGTCTGACCTGAAAAATGAGTGCTTAACAGTCAGATGCACAGGCCGTGATTACCAGATGCACAGGCTGTGATTACCAGTCCAGTGAGAGAAACCAACTGGCAAAGAGCAGTGACTTCGACACAAGGTGAGTGGTAAGAATAATGAACAGGGTAGGTAGAGAGTTGATTCTTAAGCCTCGTATGGTATTGTGAATTGTTAAGCCTTTTATGCCAAATTATTATTTGCAAATATCATTTGTCAAGCATCGCTCTAGGTACTGCAGGTGCCTTTCTCAGCTAAATCTAGTGGGAAGATTTGGTTAAGCAAGTACAAGAAAATGTGAGTGAGAGTTAATAAAGAATATAAATGTGAGGACAGACAGTATTTTTTGTAGAGTTTTAAAGGGGATGACTTGGAATTACTCTGAGGAAAAGAAAAGTGTAGCAAGTGAGGGATCACATATACAGACACTTAAAATGAAGAGAAAACCTGAAGGATTTGTGGAACTGAATTCCATTTGGCTGTACAAGGAACAGGGGAGTGTGTGGCATGTAATGACCCAAACTGGAAACAACCCAAATATCTATTTATTTTAGAATATATAAATTATGGTATATTCATATAATAAAACAAAAGAATGAGAAAAATGGACTTTTTAGAGACCCTAAGTACATAATAACAGTAATGGATGTCACAATCATAGTTGAAACCAGACACAAAAATATATGTATTACATTATTCAATTTATATAAAGTTCAAAAGAAGGCAAACAAATCTTGAATATTCGAAGTCAAGTTAGTTGTTTTACTTATTTGGAGTGGTAACTGGAAGATGGACCGTCTGAGATTTATGTTATTAATTGGGTCCTTTTTACTTGAATGTATTCACCTTGTGAAAAATTCATTGAGTTGTAACTTACAATGTGTATGCTTTTCTGAATGTATGTTTTATGTCAACAAAAATGCTTACAAAAGGCAAAAATGCCTTTGGGCAGAGATGAGATTACCCGTGATGTATACGTCAAGTTAGAAGAGTGGCAGAACCCTGGGGAATACGTAAACCACACAGACACGGTCTTATTTTTTCCCCCCTTTTCCTCAGGACCCTTCCAACTTTTTCTATGAAAACATTGCATAATGTAAGTATAATGCTAAGAATAAAATTTCTGTTAGATAGTGGGATTGCTCTTGTAGCATTTCCTCATTGAGACTTTCTAAGGAGACATTTCGACTGAATTTATTCTTTGATTTGGAAAAGTTAAAGAGTTGAAGGAAGAAATGCTGTCGTTAGAAAGACTACCTGGAGACAGGTAATGATGCTAAATATAGAACGGCAACATTCTTCTGAATCTTCCTAGTGTATTGGATCCCAGTCAATGTACTGTAACTATGTTTTCATCTCTCAATGATATACTGAAACGATATCTGCCAGGATCCAGGGGTCCCCGAAGGTGCGCAAGGCGTCGGCGCGGGAGACAGTCGACTACACAACTCAGAGGCGGTGTGACACTGTTCCGTTTTATTGTGATTTGAGTACAACTTTTATACTTTTTATTTTGGCATTGGATTATACTTTGTAGTTAAGGTAGGGAGTTAAATTTCTGTGGTTAGGCAAAGCAGAAAATCTAACTACCTGATGGAACAATCTAAACTTTTAATTATTATATCTATTACGTAAGATACAGTTTGATTTAAGTAAAGATGATAGATAAATGTATTCATAACAGCAAGCATTGGCTTGTGGGCAGACATTGTTCTTCTTTCTGCCTGAAGAAATCTTTTAAATACTATTTGATTTATGCTATATCTAAAGTTCAAGCTGAACCTTTCTCATAGCTGTTCAAAAGTTTCCTTGGTGCAGTAATAAGGAAAATATTTATAAAAATCAGTTTTACAAAGCTGCTTTCATAAGCTAAGTTTCTGTTCCTTTGTTTTTTAAGCACCAAGGAGATCCTGACCTAGCCAGCCTTTCTATGAAACTTAAACTACTATAAGGCACATGAATTCTATCTTTATTCACTGTACGTATACTATCTTTATTATAAGCTCCTGTATAAGGCAAAGGAAGATCAAGTAATCTTTTCATACTATTAGCCCCTCTAGGTGGATGCCAGAGTTTTCTATTTATCCACTAGGCCACAAAAGGAGGCCCTTCCATAGGAGGCACAGGCTTATGAGTAAATTTCTTATCCTTTGCTAATTTTTATACTAACTGCGTGGGAACAGGAGCATAAACTGGTTCCAGCAATTCAGCTTGTTAGAATTTACTCATAATATCTTTAAGAGGCGCATCAAAAGGAATTTCCCTTAATAATTGTTCAAATAAAGGGTTTACGCATTCTGGACACATCAGGGTGACTAGAGCTGATTCCATACGCGGGGAATTTACTATTTTTTCCTCAGAGCCAATTTTGAGGAAATCCATTTGTATAGCGTTTACACTTACTAGAATTTGTGCTACCCAAATTCCCCCTATTAATAGGATCATTTCTAAGAAACCGATTATCCCTAAACACATGCCACGTCCTCGTTCTTGACGATGCATTCCTTGAAGCCTCTGTCCCCATCTCCGGACCTTGTCACGCAGTAGGGTAGAAAGAGGACGAGGCAGATATCCTTTGTGAATAATTTGGGGAGAAAAGGAAAGGAATTCCATACTGCCATCTCCTCAAAGAGTGCTTTTAGAAACAAGGAAGTACTTCCAATGAAACAGAAAGGTCTATCATTAAAGCTTATTAACAAACATATAATTTTAGAAAGGTGTCTGTTCATCTGGACTACTGTATACTTATCTCTCTTTTCCAGAAATGGCAAGAAGTCTTTTGAAGACATCATCAATGTCTATGAGGACAAAGTCGGTACAACAGATGGGATTGTCACTTTATAATACATCTCATGGCTTCAATGAGGAAGAAGTGAAAAAAAAACTTCAGCAGTTTCCTGGTGGATCCATTGACCTTCAGAAGGAAGACAATGGCATCGGCATTCTTACTCTGAACAATCCAAGTAAAATGAATGCCTTCTCAGGTATAGAGCTCTTCCTTTTGCTAGTTAAAGAATGACATTAAATCTAACCTGCTATCGCATGACTCTTATTCTTACTCTGGTGACAGAAATCTTGAAAGTCAAGGTACTCTTTGTAGAACATGAAAACAAAAACAAAGCCATCACATGAACCAGGTACATTTTTTACTAATTTGTGACTTTTAATTAAAAAAAAAATTCATGAATACAGATGTTGATAAAAAGGAAACCGTCAAATTAATCTTTTTTTTCCATTGAAATTTATGAACTGCTTAATAACTTCATTTGTTTTTGTTCAGCTAATGTCACTGGGAGACAAAGGGAAAGTGGTTTCAAAGATTTTTAAAAACTAACGAGAAAAGCCTATAAATGAAAAAAGAAATTACTATTTAGCTTTTTTTTTTCTGTGAATTGAAATATGACTCTTAATTTTCACCATGTAATTCCAGTAATCAGTGAAAACACTGCACTTGCCTATTTGTTGCCCCTTTCCTAACTCTTAGATACTGATAATACCTTTGTTTGCTAGGCAGCGCTTGGCATAGTGGTAATCTGGGATTTTTTGCCAAAGCTCAAGTTGGAATTTTGTTACCATGATGTTATGCAAGAGATAATGAGTAACCTTGCTGACTATCAGCCCTTGTATTTCAAAATGATTTTGTAATTTCTCTATTTGTTGGTTATGTACATCTCGGGGATATAAATTATATTCTGTAGTAGCATTTGAAATATTTGGCTCAAAAATATCTCAGTAAATTTTCATGTGTCTATATATAATCTCATACCTATTGACATAATTCAGTAGACTCTAATCTTTATAAATTATCAATGGTGGGTCTTTAAACCAAAAATTACTTTTCACTTAGCGGAATTCAGAGATATCTCTCTCTTTTAGTGTTAACCAACAGAAATATAATTCAGGACACAAATGTGAGCCACGAGTTTCATTCAAAATTTTCTAGTTGCCATGTTTTAAAAAATAAAAAGAAACAGGTAAAATTAATTTTAATAATATATTTTATTTAACTCAGTGTATTCAAAATATTTCAATATGTGACTGATATAAAAATTATTAAGAAGTATTTTCTTTTTTTTTTGTTTTCATGCCAAATCTTTGAAATTTGATATACATTTTATAGTTACTGCACATCTCAGTTTGGACTATCCACATTTCAAGTGCTCAATAGCTACGCGTGAGTGGTGGCTACTTTATTGGACCATGCAGCTTCATACCTTCAATTGGTTCAGAGAATAAAAGCCAATTTAAAAATTAGCCTAGGAAAAATAAATTAGAAAGGTGAGACTGCTCTGGAGAATTAGGTTATATTATAGTTTTAATTTACTACTGGATAGCTAAAAATAATTTATATTAATAAAACTTGTTATTCAGATGGAGACAAATGTTAATTTAATGCCTAATATTTAAAACTAATACAAACAGAACTACATTACTTTGGGTAATGGTATGTGATTGGGTTTGGTTGGGAAATGATGAGTGAGCCCCATACTATGCAACCCCCCCAGGCCTTTGTTTGAAAATCACCCAACCAGATACTTTTTAAGGTCCTTTCCAACTCTTAATGTTTGTTTTACAAAGTAAAAAAGATGAGTTCAAGATTAACCACCTCATACTGAAGTCCAGTATTACTTTTTTATTTGACACTTAAATATTAGGGAAGATGAAGTGTCCATATTTACCTGTATAGATCTATTCTTACCCTAAATGTGTGGTTTTCTATAAAAAAAACTATACTATAAATCTTTTAAGAGCAAGAACTATATTTCCTAAGGACTTCCTTGGGAAGGCCTGCTGTTTTAATTAGGTCATAATTAGCAATTAGAAAAGATGTGAATCAATAACATTAATATTTATTGTGGAACCACTTCACTCCTGGTTACTTCAGAAAATGGCAAAGAAAATAATAGTTCTTGACATCATGGGGTTTATATTCCAAAGAGGTGTACATAGTTTAATGGGCCCTATATAGTAAGTCTTGGAACCTTGCGGTACATATTCTTTGCCAATTTTAACTTCCTTTATGATCTTAGTATTGGCTTCTAAAGTATTTTCTTAAGCAGAGGAAAGAGTAAATTAAACATGTTGAGAGCATTATGAATTTTATGAACTTGGAATATCACCATAGGTAAGCACATCTAAAAGAATGACAGTCTCTGCTATTTTTCTTTTATTAAAAATTTGTCTGTTATAAAGAAGTTCCAGTAGACTTTTGGAATATCAAGGAAATAATCTAATATGTAAATCACAGAATTGGTGGTTGTTAGACATCTTATTGGCAGCCTATGAAGTACTTCCTTGGGCTTTTCCACACCGTTTGTCAACCGTGGAACAAGATATTTGCTATCCTCCTTTCCTGAACTAACATCCTATTACAGTAGTTCTGTTGTGAGTAGGGTGACAATATCACCTTTGTTTTGTGTACTGTATGCCCATGTATCATAAGATTTCATAGTCTTCTGAAAAGCAATATTATATTCGAGTTAGGAATATAGGTGTAACTCTTGTGAGCTTGTTGACAAGACAATGTATACTGCTGTGAAATCAGGCCTAGGTATCATTTTTACCCTAAGGGATAATTTTTTTTACCACCATATCCCATATTATTGATTCCAATTTTCCTATTCCTAAGACATGTATGACATATTCTTATTTTTCTACCTCACCATATATTTACATGATTTCTTAATTGAGAGAGAGAGAGAGACAGAGACAGAGAGAGAGAGAGAGGGAGGGAGGGAGGAAGGGAGGGAGAGAGAGAGAGAGAGGAGAGAGTGAGAGAGTGAGAAAGACACAGAGAGAGAGAAATAGGAGAGAGGAGAGAAGGAAAGAAAAAAATCACTAACAAATTGTAAACTTTTAAAGCAGGGACTGCTTTGTATACCTCCTTTGTATATACTTCATAGTGCCAACACAATAAGTATTTGATAGATGTTAATCTTGTTTGATGCCTTATGGCTTCGAAATTATTTCTGTTTTTCTAGTATCTTAGCTGTTTGTGATTCCTCCTCCCCTCTCTGGCAGGTGTTATGATGCTACAACTTTTGGAAAAAGTGATTGAATTGGAAAATTGGACAGAGGGGAAAGGTCTCATTGTTCATGGGGCAAATAATACTTTCTCCTCGGGATCTGATCTGAATGCTGTGAAAGCACTAGCAACTCCAGAGGCAAGTATTGAGCGAATTATGTATTAGATTGTACATGTTTATCAGACTTTTACGGCTGAGATATTATATTTTACTTATATGGTCATTATGGTAACAACTAGTCTTTTAATAGCTTTCCAAGGATCAGAATTTCATTTCGCTTCTTAAAGATTAGCTTGCAATAGTATGAAGTACTGGAGAGAAAAAAATGGAAAGACAGGAAGATTAACAATAACCAAAGTCCATTATTAAAACCAGTAAGGATTTCCATTTTTTTAAGTGGAAGCCTTTAGCATCTCCTGATAACGAATTTTATATGAGATATATATATATAAAGTACCTAGCATAGCTTTGGTACATAGTAGGCTTCAACTAATGGTAACGATAAAAAAAAAATGCTTTTGAATTATTACCCTGATAGAAAAAGAATCCTAATCATCTTCCACTTCTTAGTACTCCAAAGAACCTCTTTTTCGTACATTCAAACTTCACCCACGTCCTCTAGGCAAAACAAAAACAAAACAAAAAAACAAAAAAATGGAAAAACATAAGTATTTATTGCCATTTAATTATAGATGTGGGCCATATGTAGGTAATAATGTTTTAATGTTATTCCACACCATTCTATGTAGTATATGATCTTTGCATAAATATATGAGGAAAGAGCTTGTTTCCTCATATAATTTAGTTTTGATAAACTTGATAAACTTAGGGAGGTAGTTAGCTTTGATAAACTTTGATAAACTTAGAGGTAGTTTTGATAAACTTGGATTTGAATGCGGGTTTCAACACTTTCTGGCTAATTGATTGGCCAGTCACTTAATCTTTCTAAGTCTTATTTTCCTAATCTATAAATGAGAATTATATATTTCATAGAGCTATTGTGAGGATTCAAGCTAATGTATATAAAGTGCCTATTAGCACAGTGCCTCAAAAAGGTGGCTATTATTATTTCAAAGATCTTGATATTAAACATTATTATTTATGAGATGATCCATAATTTGTAGCAGCACTAGACTTAAATTTTTAATGTGTCTGAATGGATACAGCACTAAGCTGGAGAATTGAATATATTGGTTCTCGCCCAAGCTCTACTAATAATTAGGTATGTGACCTGTAAGTCATTTGATTATAATTTTCATCTTTAGAATGATTATATTGCTAGGCTCGTTACTTTATTCACAATAGACACTGTAAAGATAGAATGAGATAATAGATTATTGTGGGTCTGACGTAAGTCAGGTGAGAAAATATCTAAAAATGTGAAAGCTTATTTTGCTTTCTTCTAGTTACAAGGTTGTTTCCGTCTCTTTAGATCATGCAATCAGGATTTTTTCTCTTTGTATATAAAAGCTAAAAGTGGAAACATGCTAATTATTTTATATATATGTATATAGTGGGCCTGATCTAAGTCATGTAGGAAAACATACGTAGTTTTTATATAGACTTCAGATAAGGGATCACTTCAAAAAGCTTATTCTTTCTAGTACAGGCATTCTTCAAGGAATCTACTCTCTTAAATTTCTGCAGTGAGTAAGAGTGACTGGATCAACAGCTGAGAATTAAGGTGGTGTGGCCTCAATGATTAAATAGCATGGCAGGTATCTATCACAAGTAGTTATGCACATCTGCCAGTCTCATCAAGAAAATCTGGAATTGTGGTTTTGCTTTACAATGTGTATGCTTAGAACCCAGATTAGTACTTAAAATACCTTACTTTGTTTAAAGATGGATCCTTTATTGTACTTTTGTGAAATCTGCCTAGTCATAATATAGGAAATATGTAGCATAGAAATAAGTAATTTGAGTAAAATTCTCTTTATGGATAATGTTAAGAAACACAGTAATATATATAAAGTATGGGGTATATTTGTCACATGGTGATTTTAAAATTAACATATTTGACTTGCTTACGTTCAGGTTATTAAGTATTTCACTATGATTCAAACTCAGCATTTTCGCTCTCAGTTGGTTTTGCCATGCTGAATATGAAGTATTGGCAGAACGTGAAATTTCTAGTAGGTTTTGGGACTCTACTTGAAAACAGGAGTTGAAGCAATGGAAATGTATGAGACTTCTAAAGAAGAAATTATAGATAAGAGAAAGAATCATGGGTTGGATTTTTGGGAATACGTGCATTTAGAGCATTAGTTGAATAAGAAGAGACAAAGAAGAAAACTGGAAAAGAACAATGAAGAAAAATAGGAAGAGAATCAGGAATGGACAATATTACTAGAAACTAAAAGAGAATATCAAAATGAAGAAACTGGTCAAAGCAAGATACCATTTGTTATGGAGAGAGAGAGGGAGGTGAGGATAAGGAAAAGCCATTTAATTTAACAAATAGGAGATTATTAGACACCTTTGAGTGAAGTCTTGAGAGAAAGCTGAGATCAGATCAAACAAGCTTGAAATAAGTGTGTGGGGACAAAGAGGTAATAAGTTTAGAACTCTTAAAAAATTGTTTTATATATGTTTATATTCTTAAGAGGATCAGAGTTTGGAGTAATAGGTATATGTATCTTGTATCTCTTCCCTCCATATTACCCTGAGTAGAACTCTGCATTTCTGGGATATGTGATCTGATTCTCACACCTAAGTCTTTGCTAATATCTCATGCAAAGCTGAGCTCAAGGATTTCTAAATAATGAACAAAATAAAATACTGCATCATTTGTATTTCAGACAGCATCAAAGAGTTTTAAGTAAGATTTTAGATGTCTTTTTGGTTTCATTACTTTTTAAATGCTGAAAAAAAATTTTTTTTTAATTTCTAGCATAAAACATTTGCATTATACCTTTATGTTTGTGCTTATTCTTATATAGGATGGAATAGCCTTATGTATGTTCATGCAAAACACCTTGACAAGATTAATGAGGTAATGTGTTTTCTTTTTAAAATGATTTCTAAAATACCAAAAATAGTTCTTTGTTATTCAATGTTTTGTACCAGTTTAAAAGAAAATAGCTGATTTTAAAACTCCATTTATTCTAATGATGAACTATTTGTGCCATCGAGGACAGTCATTTAATTAAACGTTAGTGACGTATATACAAATATTTTAAAAATAAGGGACATGAGAGATAAAAAGAATTTAAGACATAGCACCTTTCCCTAAAGAGTTTATATTACTAGCTGTATTTAGGTATAGATATGGGGAAGTTAAATACTGTTATCAGAGCAAAGTAAAGACACCAGTCCAGAGACGACACATAAAGTTTACCTAATATTCAAAATTAGTAGACTGTATAGTCTGTATAGCGAAGTGATCTGTATTCAGAGAAGAGAGAAGAGAAAAAAGAGCCATGGATTAGAGAAGGCTTTTACAGCTTTCTGGGGAAGGTAGATTCACTTTGTACCCAGATGAAAAGGAAAAGGAAAAGAATTCTTCTTGGCTATTACTATGCCTTCGGGGTTACAAACAATGACATGTTTAAGCTGATTAGCTTTCTACTCCCATATTCCAACTGGAAACAATTTTAAGATGATAAAAACTAAGGAAGTTTATGTATATTTATCATACTTACTAAATGGACATCACTGTACTCTTGGTGTTCTTTGTATGTGAGAGTCTAGAAAGAATAATGGAATCATAAAACTATTCTAAAATGCCTTTTAAAATTGTATTAGCTCCTGTTCACCTCCCTCTCCCTATTACATTTGACTTTTTCTTAGATAAATCTTAAAAGTTTTTTGGTTTTTCAAAAAATAATTCTTTTTAATTAGAAGCAGTTTGTGTTAAGACATTTTCAATTACTTTAAAGCTACAGCTTTGCATTTTGGTTAGAATCTGCAAAAAATTCTATACTTTTCAAAACATTTTAGCTTTACCTTTTAATGTACACTGCTGCAAAGTGGGTCTTCGCAAACAGGAAAGGTGAAGAGATATATTTTTACCACAGAACCATTCCTTTCTGTAGGATTAGTCTGTGGACCGTTTCAGTGAGTGATGAAAAGATATTTGATAGAGACCTTTAGAATAACACAGTTTTGGAGCTCAGTCTTCTGTCTGACATTTCTTCCCTCTGAATACAGCCTTCACGTTCCCACCTGATATCAATAAAAGTGAACTGAGATAATATCACATTGAATTCCTGATTGCTAGTTGTTGAGAAGTTTTAGGAGCTATAAAACGTTCATTTATTTTAATAAAGTTATAATACAGCTGTAGTTTAAAAATATGTAATGATTCAGGGAGGTATTTCAATAAACTTATATGGCGAGGCATTCAGTATGAATTATTGTATCTTTAGTATTGCACCGTATACTCCTCATGATGCACTTGGCTCAAGTTTCCACTATCCTTTGGGGTTCGTTTGTTATTATAAACATAGTTCAATAATTTGTTTCTACTGCATCTTAAGTTTTTAATGACATTTTTAGATTAATATTAAAATAAAAAATATTAACAGCCATTTTTCCTATTTCCTTCAATATGCAGACTTCCTTTAATAAGTATTGCGCTTATTCAAGGTTGGGCCTTGGGTGGAGGAGCAGAATTTACTACAGCATGTGATTTCAGGTAGGATGAAAATTGCATTAGTTCTTGCACAAATATAATTAACATATGCTCAAATGGAGGTTTTTTTTCATGAATATAAATATTTGGTATATTCTCAAAGAGGATAATCAGTTAGCAATTTTTTTTGTCAGTAATTAAAGTCGATAATTTTAGTTGGTCTAGTATAATAACTCTACCAATACTTTAGTACCATGCATTCAAAAAGTTAAAACGATGATTTTAAGTAAATCTATTTTAGCAAAATCCCTGGGGAAGGATTTTTAAAGTTTAAGATTCAAAATAATTATACAAAGAAAAGTAAAAAACAAAAAAAAAAAAAAAAAAAAAAAAAAAAAAGGAAGAGAGAATAGAGGAAGAGAGACTGTTAGTCATCCTTTTAACCAATAAAAATAAGTTTTTTGATGTCCATTTCTTAGCTTTACTGTGATTTATAGTAACTTTGTGGAGCTTTTGGGCTGATTAGGGAATAATATTAGAGAAAGTTATTTGGGACCAATAACTCTTCAATCCCTAGAATTCTTTTTAGTATTGGGTAGCTATACTTCATAGGAATGACATCTTGTAGAATCCTAATGCTTTATATGTACTTGAAACTGTGTTCTCAGTTACCATTACTAAGACCTACTAGCTCAGCTTTAAAGAAAACCAGTACAATGTTCTTTGATCTGCACAGACTTACACTTGAGCCTCTTTATAATGCAAAAGGTAATGTATATAGCATAGTGGGAAGTCAAATGTCAAAACAGTAAAGAGCCCCAGCACTGGAGTCAGATAGACTTAGGTTCAATTACAGTTTGCCACTTTTAATTTGACTTCAGGTAAGTCTCAATTTCTTTATTTATAAAATAGAAATAATCTCCTTTAAATGTTTATAGATAGGTTTAAATAAGTTAATGAATATGTAGGTTTTAGCATAATGCTTAACCTAAAGCACACATCAATGTACAGGTGACACTGATTAAAGTTTTAAAGTTACCTTGTTCCACTCTCTTTTACCGACATGCCAGTATGGCAATGTTTTGTCATACTTTTAAACTCATTAAATCTCTTTGACTTTTCAACCTTAAGGCTAATCCTGGCTTCCTTTTTTCTCCATTCATTATACACTCGATCCTGGCAAAGAAAAATGTTGGAGCATACACTAAGAGGAGACATTCAGTGTTTAGAATTTTGATTCTCCCATTCAGACACTAAAGAGAAAGCCATTCCTCTCTGGCATGCAGTGCTGTAGGCTAGGGGGAAATAGTGGAAGCAGGTGACTAATACAGTTCTTTAGTTCCCTTTCAGCTCTATTCCTTGAATCACAAATTTTATATTTTCTAAGTTCAGATTTTTAAAGTATGTAAGGTAACTGTTATAAACTATCCATTGTACTAAAATGCTGTGAAAATATAATAATATAAAAGACACCCATCAAAAAGACCCATATATAATTAGGATGCTAAAAGATGTGAATATTTAATTAGACTGTTTAACTTTCACTTTAATAATTTTAAAATCAATTTTGTCTACAGCCATGCCACCCTGAATAAGCCCAATCCCGTCTGATCTTGGAAGCTAAGCAGGGCCGGGCTTGGTTAGTACTTGAATGGGAGATCATCTAGAAAGACCAGGTGCTGTAAGCATAAAAAATAAAAAATAAAGGATTGTAAGCTGGCCAGGTCCTTGCAATCTGTGAAGTCAACCAAGGGTTGCCCCGCCTAAAAAAAAAAATAAAAAAACAAACATAAATAAATAAAAATAAAATCAGTTTTATTGAGGTATTATTTGCATTCTACATCTGTGTAACCACCTCCACAATCAAGATATAAAAGATTTTTATCGGCCCTCCACGTTTGCACGTACCTTTTCCCAGTCATTTCCTACCCTTGTCCAAGGCAAAGGCTGATCACGTTCTCATTCTAAATTAGATTTGCTTTTTTTAGAGTTTCATAAAATAAATTCATACAGTATGCACTATTTTTTTGTGTTTGGCTTCTTTCATTTAGTGTAATTATTTGAGATTCATTGGTGTTGTACCATGTATCACTACTTTATTACTTCTTAGTGTTGAAAAGTGTTACATAGATATAGCATGTATTAGTCTGTGTATCAGTGATCTGTTCATTTTATTGCCCAATGATATGCCTTTCTATGCGTATTATTTATTATTATTATATATTCTGTATAAAAGTCCTTTTATAAATAAGTCAAATATAATTTTTATGTCATATAAGTATTGTGAATATTCTCTCAGCCTTTTCATTTTAGTAGTAGTATCTTTTGAAAAGCAGAAATTTTTATTTTTTAAAATACTTTTAAATTCTCATTTTGAAATAATTACAGATCTATGAAAAACTTGCAAAAATAGCACAAATAATCCCCATATGCCTTTCACTTAGTTTCTCCACATATTTATGTCATTTATAACCACAGACCAGTTATCAAACCAGAAAATTAATATCATTACAGTACTTAAACTAATCTATAGACTTTAATTTTTTTAATTGTCATACTAATATCCTTTGTCTACTCTAGGATGCAATCAAGAATTATTTTGTCAGATATAAATATAGCATTAATATTTCTGTGGTATTCCTTTTTCTGTTCTTTCGTTTAAGTATATGTTGTCGGAAGCCAGCCGACCAAGTCAAACCGGGTACCTGAATGGGGGAGCGGGGACTGAGAAAAAAGAGAAGACAGACAGGGTGCAGGAGGGAGAACAGATCTCACAACTGTCTCTCCGAGTTTATTTCTTATCCTTCTTTTTATACATAATCTGTTCCTTTTGGTATCCCAAGATAACATAATTAAAGTAACATCCTGAAGATCAAGGTACAATCAACACTTCCTTTGACACTCCCTTCAACACTCCCTTCGACACTCCCTTCGACACTCCCTTCGACTATACTTAATCTTCTTCTTCCTGGAATTCCACAGAACCAGCCTTTTGTTTTTTATGCAAGCAGGCCTCCCGAGATAATCCATGCACTCTTTTGAATTTGGGGAGCTTTAGCTCCCTACAATATGTTGTATTTCTCAAAGTAATTCTAATCAGTAGACAATATATATTTGGATCTTGCTTTTTATTCTGTCTGATGATCTCTTTCTTTTATATGGAGTGTTTACATTATTTATATTCAATATCGTAATTGATATAATTGGGTTTAAATCTACCATCTTGGTATTTGTTTTTGTTTGTCCGATCTTGTTTATTCTTTCTTACTCTCGTTACTTGCTTCATTCTAGGTTATATTTTATGATCTCATTTTACCTCTTTTATTGACCATACCTTTTTGATATATATATATCAAATACATATATTTTTCTAGTAATATATTTTACTATATATT